GTAAGATACTTGTACTTTTACTCAAGTATCACTTTGTGGTACTTTATACAACACTGCAAAAAAGGTGACTTTCTTTGTTCCTCACATGTGAGAATCCTGGAAGTTTAGGTGATAAAAGCAACACTCCTTATTTAATTCAACAGGTTAATTACTCAGTTTAATTTAAGTAAAAGTAAACAAAACCAAAAAACATTTGAAACTTTGATGTATTTTATCAGAATACAAACCTTTTCATTTATGTGTTTGAGTTATTACTGATGAGTGATTACTAGAGAAAGTTGTAATAATTCACTTATTCTGTAGGTCAAACAGGAAATGTTCAGATTAGAAGTTAATCTGACCTTAGAGTGACCCAGTTTGTTGCCATTTTCATCGGTGACAGCGATGCCGTTCAGAATTTCCCTGAAAAAAAAAAAGAAGAAATTTTAATTAGATGTTCACTTTTAAACCAATAATCCAATTAGGATGTTTTTTCTACATCTCAATAAAACATGGGAATGAAAACATACAACAGACTAAAACCCTGTTTGTACAACACCATTTTTCAACCAATGACCTAACGTGGAAACTACACTAACCCTGCTGTCATTATTCTGACAAACGGAAATTAAAGTTAAATAAATAAAGTTTTATTTAAAAAAAAGAAAGAAACTACAGTTGGTTATTAACATTTGTCAGGAACGGACGTGTTTACTGACAAAACCAATAAAATAAAAATAAAAACAGGAAAAAAAGTGTGTTTTCTCCACAAAACCATCTGAGGGTTCAGAGCAGTAATCTGAGTCAGCGTGGTTTCATCCTGCATCAGACACAATCAGTGCATTCTGCCTTCTCGTGTGTATTTGAGGCAGTTAGCTCCGAGGACGACTCACTGCTGCCTCATCATGGGAATGTTCACACAGTTGGCTGCTGCCACGGCTGCAAACGGGACCCAGCGAGCCACAAGAGGAGGCGCTCTCTGCAGGAGAGAGGGGAGAGAGAAAAATAAATAAATAAATCAGCACCGTGAACGTCAACGGATCGTTCCTCAACACTTTACAACACTTAAAACTGCGGCGCTCTCACAGAAGATAGGATACAAAGCCTCCCGATTGGTTTGATGGCACAAAAATAAATAAATAAAATAAATAAAACAATCTGTCTGGTGTGAAAACAGTTTGTGCTGCATGAATCCCTCTGAGTGTTCGTACCTTTGTGTAAAGGTTGAGTCCCACCGCTGTTGCCAACGCTGTGCTGGTTGCTGTAACATAAGCGACACCGATCTGCCTGAGAAACACAACAGCGACAAAGACCAGCAGCTGATTTAGGATAAGATGTTTCCTTGTTGAAACCGCCACGATAACATGTTAACTTTAGAATGAAGCTATAAATGTCCTGATGTATCTCAGTAATCCAGGTAGAAAAAAATCAAAAAGAAAAATAAGTAGGTCCTCTGGATGGGTTCTTCTTTAGTGAAACGTTTCGTCTCTCGTCCAAGAGACGTCTTCTGTCTGATGAGTTTCAGGTGAACTCAGCTTTATGAACACTGCTCCACATGGACAAACAGGTTAGTCACATGCAAAAGAGGGCCATTGACTAACAATAGGCTTGATTGGCTCTATTGTTCATAGAGGGTCATGTGCCCCATCACCTGACCCGTGTCGTGTTATGTGTATGTAGTGAATGCAAGCGGGGGTTCAATGTCCCCTTGCTTTTGTCTCTCTTTCCCTCTTTGTTTTGGTATCATTGGGGCCCTGATTCACATGTTTTGCTCACAGGGGGGGGAGTCGTACTT